GTCACTGGCCATCAGTGTTTTATTTATATAGAGCGATATCCACAACAGCTCACACTCAAGAAAACTCTGGGGTAGCTGTGGGGTTGGTGGGTAAGTGCCCCACACTGCAATGAACACATTAAGACACTGAAAAAACTGAGACACCAAAATATGGAAAGACCCCCCCCCCCATGTTCATGAATTGGAGGAATTAATATTATGAAATGGCTATTCTACTAAAAGCAGCCAACAGATACAATGCAAACCTCATTAAAATATCAGGACATTTTTTTCATGTTCATTGAAAAATAACAATCTCCAAATTTTTATAGTAGTGCAAGTGCCAACAATAGACAAAGCTATCTTAAACAGAAAGAATACTATTGGACATATCACCATACCTGATTTGGTTTCAAATTGTGCTACAGATTCATACTAACAAAGAGTCATGACACTGACACAAAATTACACACATAGAATAGAGGGCCCCGATATAATTCCATGCAACAGCAGCTACCATTCTTTTTGTAAAGATGCCAAAATCATATATTGGAGAAAAGACAGCCTCTTCAACAAGTACTGCTTAGAAAACAGGATTTCAACTTCTAAAATATGAAACTACATCCTTACCTCTCACCTTGGACAAAATCAATTACAAATTGACCAGAGACCCCAATATAGGACCTGATACCCTGAAACTGCAAGAGAAAAAAAGTAGGGGATAAATTTTAACTTATAGTCAAGATAACAATTTTTCAAATAGGACTCCAATTAGCTTGAGGGAAAACTAAAACTAAACTAACCAACAACTGACAAATGAAATCTCATAAAACTAAAAGGCCTCTATACAGCAAACAATACTGTCAAATGTAGCAACAGTCCATAGAATTGAAGAAAATCTATAGTAATTAGATATATGACTAAGAATTGGTGTCTAGAAATAACAAAACAAAAACAAACAAGAAAACAAACTTCCCAAACGGTACTGAACAGAAAGTTCTCAAACGAAGAACTATGATTGGCAGTAAATGTTTTTAAAATGTTCAGCTTTAAAACTACTTTAAGGTTCCCTCTTACCCCACTCAGAATGGCCATCATGAATAACAGAAGGAGCAGTAAATGCTGACTTGGGTGTGGCAAAAAGAGAACCCTTATATATTGTTGGTTGGAGTGTATTAGACCTGGGCATGACAAGATCAATGCCCCTGAAGACAGCAACTGTGATCAACTACAAAAGACCTGACTGAACAATACTGAGTCTTTTAACATCCAGTTAGAGAGGTGAGGAGGGGCTTA